GTTACCATATAACAGGACGTTCAAACAGACAAACAATTTAACACAAAGTAAGAACTCTTACTCACCTTCAGGATTGTCGGGGTCTCGTTTTAACACAGCATAGCGAGGTAGGTCAATGCCCTCTTCCTGTAAGATCCGGTACACTTCCCTCCTGGCAGGGATTAAAATACCATTAAAAACAACCTCCAAAAAGCATAACCACAGTGAGCCTATGTGTGTGACGCTAGGGTCGGCAGTTAAACAGGAATAAAGTATATTAGATAAGTGAAAATATCAATTATGTCACTTTCAATCATGAATCATGTGATCACTCCTCTGATTAGGAAGAGAACACTGCAACTGCTAACAGGTTGTATTGAGTTTGAAAGTAACTTATTGAATGATGTAATAAGTGATCACCATTTTACGTGTAACCGACATCTTAGTGGGGACCATTAATTTAAAATTAAAAACTTTTTTTTGGATACCCCTAAACCCTGTGTTTGTGTGTCTGCACAAACTGTACCTGTCCTGTATGAAATACTGCATGTTGAGGTCATTGATGAGCAGTGGATTCCTGAGCTTGGCGTACTCCACAGCTTTGTCCAGAGGGAAACCTGAAAATATCCCACGCGTACAAATTAATAGTATCTTCACTAATCCATGCTCAACCAACACTGACAAATGATTTTGTTAAAACATTTCTAAAACATAGAGGTGATGACATTTGATAAATCCTGCATTTTTTGTCTCTCATTTGTTGGTTGCAAATGTGTTGACCCACCCAGCTGATGAATTAATAAACTGTGTAACATGTTTAATCCTTCTAGTCATTTAAATTGATTCTTATGAGTTTTGACAGGTTTTTACTTGCTTTACTTACTGAAGGAATATTTACCAACACACAACCTTTCTGACTTGTTCAGCCGTTATCAGATATACCCGATTAACATTTGGACTGGTCAGGGTTCATTAGTAGAGTAACACCATGAGGGCAATTTGTCTTGCAAACAGCAGTCAATAGTAGTTAATGTTAAACTGTAACTTAGCCCCTACACTCTCCTAGCTCCCACCCTCCCAGCAAACTGTCAAAAAGCAGCAGAAGCCTTCACAGTAGAATCATTATAGGGGCCGTGGCATTGTGGCTGGAGCCTGACAGACATATCTTTAGGAAAATATTTGTTTTTTCTACTTTCTAACAATAATAATAATAATAATAATAATAATAATACCAACACAGGACTCATACCATGTTCCCAAGGTCAGAACTACAATACACAAATCTCATTCTTTTAAAAATAGAATGGAAAAACAGTCCCATGTGATAAACTCTGACTCAAATACACACTGAAAGACAGATCAGAGTCAGAGGAAAAATTACTTGAAATAGTGTATAAATGTATGTATAATATATATAAAATACTGTAGTTTCATCCTTTGGCATTTGCATTTGGCTGCTTACTTAACTTAAAACATAAAGTGATCCTAATGTTTGAGCTCTTAATGTAAATGAGTCAAAATGTGTTTGTGTGTCATTTAAGATGGGGGGAATATACACAGAGAGGTATGTTGATCTTGTTCACCTCGTTCTGCCGTCGTAAACCAGACATGGTCGGCTGGGGAATAAAATTAATTACAAGCCGTAAATAGATATTTCCAGTCCCACAGTTCTCTTTGTTTCCCATTGAGACATTCCCATAAACTGCTACTGGCTGTTTGCTGCCAGACAACCTGACACAAACCTGGCAAACTCTCCAAATATGGTAAGGCTTTTTATGTACCAATATTTCTCAAGAGAACATTCAATTTACAGAACAGATTAAGATTATTTTTGTTGTATTGTTACTTTACAATGACTTGTTATTTATGGCAAAACATGATGCAATTTCAGATCACAAAGGCTGCATCTGAACAGCTTAAAGCAAATAAGAACCTGGAGGAAAGGCAAAACATGGCTTACTCCATATGTTTTAGTAAATCATTGTAGCCAGTGAAGCTACAAAAACTTCTCATACCTCTCCGGAGCATTTAGGTATCAGCCTACATTTCACCTCCACCTCCCTGTTACCATTTCCCCTCATGCAACAGGATGTTTTTTAGATTTTACCTTTGGAGTGAAAGGAGATGAGGCAGTCGCAGAGGGGCCATTTCTCCACAGGTTCCTCCAGGATCACTTCCTCGGGAAAGATGACAACGTTGATGTAGTCAAACTTACAAAGGCGCTCAAGGATTTGAGTCATTGGCTTGGATTTGGATTTCTTCATCATGGCACATATGCCAACCACAATCTGTCGCTCTGGTGGCTGGTGGAAAGGACGGGGAAGACCAGGGCAGTGAAGAGAGACATGGAAAAAGATGACAAGTAAAACAAGGGTAGTGACAACAGATAAAGCAATTATTTTTTTTGCCAATTTGTGAACGATCAGCTGTGTATTGATTCATTATTATCAGGTCATCAGTTGAATTGTCACTGTAACTTAATACAAACAGGTAAAAACTATTGCTTTATCTGTAGGTTAAAACTTAACACATCCATGGAAAATGTATATGATTCTTGAGATAACATTAAACTAAATTGTTTTTGTGTACATTGATTCTTACATTAATCAGCAAGAAAGTGTTTACTGGTGTGCTACAGTGGTTGAGGTGACTGTATTAACTAAACTTCAATGACACATCAGTTGAAAATGTAAAACAGAGACAAAAACTCTGAGACAAAGGAAGAGGAAATCATAGTAAGTAAGCGAGCAGCTAAAACAGCACTGTCATAAAGTCCTTTTATAGCTCCAGGACTAAACAACTGACCAGATGTCTTTAAGTTGTTTATCTACCACATTGTTCTCACGCCAGCCTTTGTATATTTCGGTATATTTTTTTCCTTGCTGTCCAATTCCAAATAAAACTCTCCTCTTTAAAAACGGTCCAGGCCTGTTTCCTACTGCCCAAAATGGCCAAAGCTTTGGAATCCTGTTCCAAAATTAAATGTTTTTTCCACTGTAAATTCACACTTACACTACTAAGTCATAAATAAATACTATGCAAACACTCTTGTATATAAGTACAACTACTTCTGTGATACTTCAAAATTGACTCTGCTCATAAAAAACCTTTACACAGTCACAACAAAAAATAGTAAATCTAACACCTACAGCAACATGTTAGTCTTTGTACACCTTAAAAACACCAGCTGTGTGTACATCTCAATTAACACCTGTCACATACCGACTCATCTTCATCATCCTCCATGTCCTCTTCTCGATACATCTCGTTCTTCATGCCTGCCTCCATTTGGCCCATGTCCTGCTCGTCATCTTCACAGCCAAGCACAAATCGAGGAACGTCTCTTTGACCCCGCCCCAGTCCTTCCCCTGCTCCTGATCCTGCTCCTTGTTCTGGTCCTGGTCCGTTGCAGGGCTTGAACATCACAAACCCCTGTCCAACATGGCTGCTTAGGGTGGCTCCTCAAGCAGCTGAGCAGGAAGAAACCCAGTCAACTGTGTTACACCGTCACTAGATGACTGACACCTGAAAGCCTGCTGATAAAGTGAAGGGGTCTGTTGGTGTTTCTGAGCGGGCTGATAACAGCTACGTGCGTCTGTGTGCGTACAGTACGTGCAGAGGTAGAAAAAGAGCGGTGGATGTCCTAAGAGGTAGACCAGAGGGAGCGAACTCCACGTGTGTTGAGGTAGACAGTTAAGATCCTGGTTGTAAAGGACAGAGGAGGTCTGGCTCTGAGAGATAACATGTCCCAGTCTGGAAACGCTTCTTCACACAGGAAACTCCACAGTCATCTGTGCACCGCTGTCCTTAACCTAAGAATAAAATGTAAAATAAACACATGGAGAGACTGGTTGAGCAACTTTTTCAACAATTCCTTTAGGGTAAAACTAAGATACACCAAAGAGCAAAACTTGAAAACACTGACAACATTTGGCAGTTACAGTTGTGCAACTATAAACTATACATATACTGCAAAAAATACTAATTTATTTATTTATATATATAT